CTCAGGAACGAACTTGAAATCCACACAGTGATAACCATGCCGTTCCTGTGCACATTTACCATTCACGTTTGTAGATTATATTCATTTTCATACATCAGATGCAACAACTACCAACTACTCCACTCTACATGTTATTTTTACAAATAGTCACCATGCCTATACCAGCCTCGAGCACTTCCGGCATTTACAAGAAGGAAGTTGCAAGCGTCACGAAGGTCCTGCTCAGGAAATTGACCATGTCAGAGATCTCTCTGATAGGCTGTCGAAGCCACTTCTTCACTGGAGACAGCGCGACCCGTGAGCAACAGAATACATTGACAACCTGAATGCCCTTGATAAAGCAAACGGGGCTTACCCACCGAGATCTGTCATTCGCGTTTGGCTGCAACGCTCTTCGAGTATTTGTAGGCGAGACCAAGGTTCTTGAGGTTTTGAAAGAGAGTAGCTGCTGTCGAGATTGGCTCATAATGATATATGCGAGCTGTTTTCCGATCTGGTCAAGTATGCGGCAGTGACGGGTTTTCGGCTAGCGACATACGGACTCCTTAACAGTTTTAATTGATCCAATAATCGAGAGCCCACCCGTGGTTAGTGTGTGAGGGTTAATACATCTATGTAGATTGTAATTTACCTCCCATCGTTCTATACTTTTTGACGATATTCCAGAAGCAATATCGTTGGGGATCCGGACGTAGTAGCCTAATTCAAGCTTGGCTTGTTTGGATCCAATGGCTTTGCAACGCCTGTAATTTGAATCTGACGTTTTGCTTCTTTGAAGTTTTTCAAGATCAAAGCCACATCTTCACAACGCCCGTCATAAACTGCCTGTCACTACCAGTAATCAGTGAGAGTCAGTGAAGAACATGTGTCGCGCACAGATCTCCATTTCATTCCCTTCGCTCATATCCATACATCATGTCACCGATAATACACTGCTGCTTTTCATTCTCACTTATTGAGAGGCCCTCACCATGCTCTTCTCATACCATTCCCTCTCGAACTCAATCGCCCTCTTGATCGTCTCTGACGTGCGCCACCCATGCTGTTCACCATCGAAGAAGTGCGCCTCAACATGCCCCTTGTTTTTAATGACCCCATCAATGATAGTCCATGATTGTGCAGGCGGAACAACTTCATCATCATTACCTTGAAGAACCTGTCGGAAACATGATCTACTCATCAGAACGCACTTTCATCAACACAAAACTTACGAGTAACGGTGTTTCAATTCTCGCAGAAAAATACACTGGACTCCGGTCATGATAGACATGTGGTACCTCTTCCTTCGTACCGCCGAGAAGCTTTGTCATGTACATAAGTTCAAACTTGTGTGTATCGTCCGCAAGTAGCTCGAGGTTTGAGATCCCGAAGTTGCTCGTGGCACTCGCGAAGAACTTCGTCTTGCTTGCCGCAGAGGAGGCGAGGGAAATGGAAGCAAGGGCAGTATATCCGCCTGAGCTCCCGCCGCGGATGGCAGTGCGCTTAGTGTCGATGAGGGAACGGAGTTCAGGCGATTGGACTGCTTCGATGCAGTCGTTCACGTCGGTAATACCCCAGTTCCCTTTGAGGCGCTCCCTAGTTACATCATCGGTGCTGCTCCATGTCAATGATGATGATAAACATAAACGTACACATATTTGCGTCCGTAGCACGAAGAACCACTGTAGTTTATATCCAACCTGCAGTTGATAAGCATGGTGATCCTACAGGGTGCGTCAGAACTTACCAAGCATATCCTCTGCTTGTAAAATACTGCTTCAGCCAGTTCAAACTCTGGGTTTCTAATCCTGTGGGGCCACCGTGTACGCCTAGCACACAGGGAGGCTTTTCGTTCGGAATGCCCGAACCCGCATATGCTGGGTTGTTTGGAGCGTAGTACACGGCATATACAATCCTGTTATCCGCCAGTTTGAGTTCGAGAGGGGTTGGAAGCGAAATGATACCCTCAGGGAACGGTACAGCGGACGTCGATGCGGTAGATTTGAGTACCTGGAAATCAGGCACGAATGATGGTCCGGTAAGAGTACAGAGCATAGCTGCGCCAGGGGCGTTGCTTCGCAATCCCGTGAAGACAAAAGTATAGTTCGACATGCGACGAACATGTTCGATAACTACAAAGTCGAACGATTTGTCTTTGATCTCCTTGTAGGATCCTGTGGTGATATCAACAACATACAGGACGCTTCGGCCGCCTCGCCATGCGACACAGATGGCTTTTGTGCCATTATCGTCCAGGAACGCGAATGGGTAATTTCCAAGCGTCCAGGGTGGCATGCAGAAGTCTTGCTGCACAACAGACGAGAGGACTGGTTTTGTGCGCGCTTGAGTGCATTCCCACAGGCTTGCGAACCTATTTCCCTCCTCGCCTTCGTCAGATGTGAAGAGAAGCTTGTCGTTGGAGGCCCACAAGGGGTAACACGCGCTGATTGTGCAAGTGCTACCGGCTACCAGTTTTGTGTTGCTTAAGCTAAGTGTATGGGTGTTGGGGTTGTAGCAGACGTCAGCCACATAGAGCCGTCCTCCCTCCCAAGGCATATCTGGGTGCTCCCAGAACTGCCATGCGAGCTTATCACCAGAGGGGGAGAAGGTCGGCGCGGCATAAAATTCTCTTTGTGCATCCTCAGTACAAACCAAGGACATGACTGTCGTAGCTGTGGAGTTGATAACGCAAAGAGAGTTACGCACAGTTCGCGGGGTGTCGTGGGTATGGTCTTCTAAGATTGCGACGAGTAGGTCAGTATGGACTGGGTGCACACAGAAATCTGCGTAGCGATAGATCTTCTTCGGGTCCTCTGCGCACGGAACATTAGTATGGTGTTGTAGTCCGGGGTATTAACACAGGCACCTGGTGTGATTGGTTTGATCTTCCCATCTTTCGCGGCATAGACAAGGAAGTCCGCAAAATTCGAAGAGTACACAGTCCCGTTATAAGCGATCGCAGCAGCTCCACCATACTCATGAACGCGCGTGCGCGCGTTGAAGTTCTTGGCGAAGACTTCAGTTTGAGTCTGGTTGCTCAGAAGCACGTATCGGCCACCCTCTGATGCACGCTGTTCGATGTAGTAGATATCTTTCGTGATTGGGTCTACAAATATGTCGCTCATGGAGACGCTCTACGGTGCAGGTCAGTTTTAGATACTACCAAGCGATCAGAAACGATTTTGGAGAACGTACATCCTCAGCGATAGCATCAGCTGTGATTGGGGACTCCCAAAGGCCGTATGGAGCATATTTTTGAGGCATCGCAATATCCGTTGAGATAGTTAGTAGATTGGATGGCTGTGTGGGAGGAAGAGAGTTGGAATCCCAAGGTGCAGGTACCCGTTACATATTTATGACTAGCTAGATAAGCGCACAATGCACATGCACTTTGCGGTATTTGAAAATCAGAAGTCAATTTTGGCCACTTCAAGTACTACGTCCCGTTTTGCGCCAGGTGTGCATCCCGTGATGTTTGGATCTAAAGCTTTTGACAAACAACCACTTCTCGATCGTCCACGAACGGATTTTCATTTTTGGATTTCCATTTTAGTTTGATGCCGTTCCGTCCGACGCTCCCTTTGCACAAGAAGTCGAGCATAGCATGGCTAGCACGACAATCCCGTGACCCTTTTGTCAAAGCGCGCCTCTCCTCGCCATCATCCTACCGCTCACGCGCTGCCTACAAACTCATCGAGCTTAATGACAAGTGGGGGCGCTTCCTCTCACGTCCTGGCGTACGTAGTGTCGTGGACCTTGGTGCAGCTCCGGGCGGCTGGAGCCAGGTTGTCGCGGAAAACTTTGGGTGGACCCTTGAGGCAGCAGACGATGCGGAAGATTTTGGGTTACGTGAAGAGGCGAAGGTGCAGAAACGCGGTTCCTGGAGCACTGAACCTATGAACAAGACTACCGGACGAGGAAATATTGTTGCGCTGGATCTGCTGCCAATGGTGCCAATACCAGGCGTGCAGACGTTACAGATGGACTTTCTAGCTCCGGGTTCAGCGCGTATCGTACGGGATGCGCTGAAGAGTTCACAGAATCCAGAGGGTACAGCGGATATCGTGCTGAGCGACATGGCAGCTGATTTTTCTGGAAGCAAAATTCGGGACTCGCAAATGAGTTTGGATATCTGTCATGCAGTCTTCGATTTTGCACAAGGTGCATTAACTGTTAGGACAGTGGATGAACGAGGGAAGGCATCCTGCGGCGGGATACTACTGTACGTCTTGCATTGTCCGGAAGAGGGGTTGCTCATATATATGTTTGTTCCAGGCTGAAGCATTTCGCTCATCCATTACTGCAAGAGTTCAGAAAGGAACATTTAGAGCCTAACTTCCACCTCGTACATTATATCAAGCCGGAGTCAAGCCGCGCTGACTCTGCAGAAGGTTACTGGCTGTGTCGCGGTTGGCTGGGTAGGACCTAATCGGCATTCCTTGGGCAAGCAACCCCGCTTTCGACACTAATATTATTACTACACTCCATCGGTCCCTCACCACAAGTCAGGTACATGGCACGTAATTGTATAAGAAGCACTGGACTGTACAAGTACCCCAAGTCTGTTCAGCCTGTGAGGCTGAATACCTATCAACTCTCCCTGCAATTCCAACTCGCAATTGATTCGCTCCTTCCAAACTCCGAGTCTTTGACCTCTTCTTTCCTCCCACACAAACTCTCTCACGTGTTCCTCGAACTACAATTTCCCATTACAAGACACGCCCCGTAATCGGACTTTTGTCAGCCCGGATCGAGACTAATAGGCTATGTAGGCGACTTGCAGTCGACAGCACACTCCATCAGTTTGCATGCTTCCCGTCACTGTCAAGTACATGGCACATAACTGTTTGTATGACAAGAATAGTGTACATCATATTGTAGACCTAGTAAGTAACATTGAGCTGTAGTAACATATCACACAAATCCTACACCAGAAACGAGCGCTATCCTTGGTCTTCACTAGCTCATAATTTTCGCTCAACAAATCGAAACTGCACAAGTAAGAATAAATTATAGAAGGCTTATGCCCCAAAGCCGTAGAGCGTGCGCCCAGAGCGCTTGAGAGCATACACGACATCGAGCGCCGTCACGGTTTTCCTAATAAAAAAAATAGCAAGCCGTCGGCGTGAGAACTAACACTAGCCACAGCAGTTAGATCCTTACCTCTTGGCATGCTCGGTGTATGTGACCGAGTCACGAATAACCTGTAGGGAGTCAGGTGACAGCTCCGCAGTCAGTAGCCGGAGTGACTCACGTTCTCGAGGAAGATCTTCAAGACACCACGAGTCTCCTCGTAGATGAGGCCTGAGATACGCTTCACACCTCCACGGCGAGCAAGACGACGAATAGCCTGCGGAACATCAGATAGGTGTTGATTGCATATAAGAGCAAGGACATACGGGCTTGGTAATACCCTGGATGTTGTCACGCAAAATCTTGCGGTGACGCTTGGCACCGCCCCTACACAAGCCCAGTTAGATATGACACTCACTAAGAAATATCGATGGCACTTACTTTCCGAGACCCTTTCCACCTTTGCCGCGTCCAGACATTATAGTTTATGGTATGTATGCGTGGTGTGTTAGATGAATAGAAGATGATCGCACTTGGTGGTGGTAGTGGTAAGAGGGTGAACAACGCGACTTCTTCGTTGATTGGCGTGTTTATATGTAGGCACGGGTCACGTGACCTCATCATCGCGTCGGGTCCATAAACGTCTAATACTATTACTAATACTACATAATACTGTCTTGAACCTATGGCCTGAGCACATACTACATAGTACTGTCTTGAACCTATAGCCTGAGCACGGACCAGCTTGAAAACTCGAAGTGCAAGCCCGCCCGAGAACGGACCATCTTGACCACAAAAACTCGAAGGCTGTTTTAGGGATGGATTCAAACGAAGCCCCTACGATAATTTACAGAGAGATTTCAATGAGTTGACTGTCTAGGCTTCTATACACAACCCTCGCGTCTGCCATGGCCACTTCCTTTCGCTTGAGTCGGCCATCTTACTGACTGGATACGGTGGATATGTGAATGTAACTACATCACTGATAGGCCGTTCGACAGACTCAGGGGCGTGACAGGCCACAGTCACGGTGTTCTTCGGAAGGCGTAGTGGGGTGCGGAAAACCAACGACACAGCGTGAGTCACCTGCTGAACCAGCGGCTGGTTTGAAATCCGTAGTATCCGGGTCCGGCTTGAGTCTTGTACCAGAGCTTCTTCTTCCTGCGTTTGACTCCTACGATACTCCGAGTGATTTTGGAATCTTCTTGTCGTGAAAGTGGACTGGTTCTTCCTTGGCGGGGCGCAGCTTGATGTGGGATACGAGCCGACGGATATGACGCGTGCGAGTGCTTGTATCGAGGTGTACGCTCGAGTCTTCACGAGTCAGAGGGGCTATACGTGTAGACGCTAACGATACAGCCGACTACATCTCGTCAGTTGATTAGATCGCCCGAGGTATGGAGGGAAATGTTCCAGTTGCGATTCTAGGGACTGCCACGAATGCTGTCAGATCTGAAGTCCCAGAAGAATAGGATATGGTGCTTACTGAGTAAATGTTCCGAGAACTTCCCTCGTCAAGAGGGTCTTCCTTGTTGACTGATACATCCGCTTCAAACCTCTCCGAGTCAAACTGAGTACATGGGGCCCGGTTTGTATTCTTCTTGTCTTTGGC